TTAACCCATTCAGAGAAAACAAAAGCTAACCAGAGACAAATAATCGTATTCGAAGGAAATAACATCATCTAAAATGGGTGAAATATCTGTTACGGGGTATACTCAGAACATGAACTTCTTTCCCATATTCAAACTGATTGTTCGCTGTGCAATCTATTCATGATTTACTATAGTGAAAAATATGTACCATTAGCGTCTGTAAACATCTATTCGTTCGTTCGCTTTGATATTACCAGCGCATGTTCAAACCGATTGATGCATTAGTCATGACCGTTGTTGTTCGGATTAAGTTCAACACGTGATGCCATAACGTGGTTCTCACAAACAGTCCTTAGACCCGGGTTACAATGACCTTTGGCTAGTGGTGTCTAATTTCATCGGTGCTCTAGCTAGGAAAAGTGCGGGTACTGTTCATCCATTCAAACAGGCGCGTCCGCTCGACGGCGGTTATTGCTCACTCGGACCTGACATCTTACTCCACTCCCCTGCTTATCAGTCAGTCGCGATTATCTTTCACGTTAGTGCGACAGAGCCCATCGACAGACAACATGACCGTCGCTCTGGTAACCAGTTTTCAGTTTCAGCTTTGGTAAACATTAACCATGCACTTTCGCTCCGATTTTGTTTGCTGTGCTTTGCCTGCCCATGACATAAATGAACATATTCCAGTGCTTCACAGAATGGCAAAGAAACTTTGAAGATTACAAAGATGAATTTTTAGCAAAGTCAAATCGTAGTTTGTTTCAGCTTAGCTCTCCTTTGGAAATCAACAAACGCGTCGTTTTAATCAGTTGTACACTTCAATAATCGACCCGAACTCCGATCATTAGTCAAGACAAACAGCTTCAATTGATCCAGTAATTTCTGATTGAGATAACTTCCGGAGCATTCACTGCTTCACATTCATCTTCCTTGCTACGCTTAGCCTGATTCGAAACGAATTCATCCAATGGCTAAAAAAGGAGACCCGGTACAAAAATTTTAACTAAACCACTTCTTCACCATCAAATTCCAAACAGGCGATTTCTTCAAAAAAGACGCTCATCAATAGACACAATGAGTAAAGTCTTCGACCTGATCGCTCTTATCCTCTAGTGGCTGCATCGCCGGCTGAATCAATGTGAATTTGAACCCAGCTTTCATGAAAGCGTTGATCAGTACGTGCCTATGCACAGACACCATAAATAGTACAATAGAGCGCCTTTGAGAAACCATTTTGTGGTTGACATCGGACAGTCAACTGTGAAACAATGCGGAATTTATCCATGTGTTCTTTTATAACTGCATGGAAGGCTTTTTCTAGCTATACCTCTGAGGCATCGTGGAGTTTGAAACTTTTCAGTCATCAACGCTGATAGCTTTTCTCCAGTCATGCTCCCACAAAGCAGTAACGTGATCCTCTCGTTGCACTTCTTGGATCCAGAAATTGTCTTCCCTTTGAGACTTAATGTTCCTTCTGGTGTCAGAGTGAGAGTAGACGAAACCCAGTCCTGCAGCAACACTTGGCACTTTGAAGGTGCAAAGCACATACCGAATGTGGAAACCTCACTTTTTAGTCTATCAAGTGCGCTTTGCGCGTCCTCCGTGCGTTCGAACAAACAGACGATGTCATCGGTGTACTCCAAATCGCACAGTTTTTCTTCAGCTGCCCATTCAATATTAGCCGCATCCTCCAGTATTTCGTCTACGACGAACTGGAACAAGAAAGGCGAAAGAAGGTACCCTTGACGTACGCCACCGCTGGTGAAGAACGGCCTACTTAGTTCATCATAGACCCTTACACGATCAGAGATATGTGAGTACAGTGACCTCAGTAAGTTGACGTACTTCTCTTTCGAAGAGGCGAACTCATCATAGCTTCGTGGTCAACCGAGTTGAACACTCCTTTCAGATCAAGAAACACTACGATCGTTGGTTGACGGTTCGTGTGATGCAGCTCAAAGACCCGACGTAACGCAAAAATTTGATCAATACGTCCACGGCTAGGCTGGAATCCGACTCGCTGTTTCACGGGTGTTGGTCTCTTTATAAGGCGTTAGACGTCGAAGTTTGACCGAGGCTAGCACTTTTGTGACAATCGAGATCAAACTAGCGCAATCGTTGTGATGTCTCTTCTTGAAAATGGGAACGATCAGTGATTTGCTCCAAAATAAAGGAATGCGCTCTTGCGTCCAAATGTTGCGCAGTAAGGTAGTAGTAGAGCTGTCAGAGGGTAAAGATTTGATCGATACATCCACGACTGACTCGAAACACAGTCCTCTTCTCGCGGGTCTACCCTTCACGTATAGTGTACAATTGGCGGAGAATGACGGACGCCTACAACTTTGACGCTATCGGAATCAGCCTTATACCCTATGATTCGCACAGTCATCACGTGGGCCCTTTTTGAAGATGGCGACAACAGTCGATTCTCTCACGAAGAGGGGACCTGCAGGTGCCCATATATATTTTACACACGCCTGACTGTGCGCCACACAAATCATGGTACAATGATTTTTATAAAAAAGGAAACGCGTTCCATGATTTGCGTGTGGGCTGAATACTGCCAGGTTGCCCACTCCAAGGCAGGTGAATTGACTAGAATCCACAACCGGAGCATTTGGCTAGCCAAAGCCTGACCCGCAATGCAGCGAAGGGGTGTGTAAACCGCAATCCATTGAGGGTCATTATCTAGTTCATCGGATCTTACGCCCTTTGTACGGGATCAAGCGTCCAAAGTGCCCAATACACCTCGATAACCANCGAGCCGGTGACCACTTCTGCAGCCGAAAGGGTGTGTGGTTCGTACGCCTCTTGGTTCCAAACGTTGGCGAACAGAACTTCTAGTTCTCCAACAAGCTTTATCCCACCATCTTTAAACAGAGCAGAGGAACGCCATCGGAGCCCGGCGCTTTGTGATGTCCCAAGGCTTGAACCCCCTTACGGATTTCCGCCACAGAAGGTGAGTCTGTTGAGGCAGACCATGGGACGTGTGCCAGAATAACTGTGTGGGAAGTTGACGCTGGTGACCAGATAAACAGTGCCTCAAAGTTCTCCGCCCAGCGTGCAAGACGTAGCTGTTGATTATTAATGGGCAATCCGTCAGCTTCGCAGATCTTTTCGCTCACACCCAAGGCTTTCCACCAGTGACCCGGATGAGATGAAACAGCTTACGGGAGTTTCCCATGGTGGTAACACGTTCCATCTCTGATGCGCATTGAGTCCACAAGATTTCGCGGTCTCTGCGTACGCCTGCTTTGAGGTTGCATCTCGTTATGAGTCGTATTTCATTAGGTGAAATGGGGGGGGGGCATGAGTGTGTGTACGGTGTAAAGTGTTTATCTCGGCGCAGAAATCGTAGAGTGAACGCATATAAGAGTCAAAGAGTTCATCGTTGTTGACGTGGGCTGTTGTACTACTCGGTGGCCCCGTACAGAGTAGGTCTTGTTCGAGGCTGCACTCTAGTCTTTGTGCAACCAAGCGCAGGCTGCAGGGCAGCAGCGAACCGATGGCCAGTATTTGGTTCATTCGCCTCTTCTGGAAAACCTTGTCGAACAGTAGATTTCGATAGATGATATAGTCACGTAAAGGGCGATTTTTTCTGTGCAGTTATGACAGTGTCATGGCTTCATACGAGTATAACCGTAACCAAATTAGTGACCTTATGACTAAAACACCTACATTTAGATTTTACGCATTCTGACAAGTTCATCTAAGCCCTTTTTATACTTCATAAATAAAGCGACTTACAGGCAAAGGGACAAATCCCAATATCCGAAGAAATCATCGACAAGAGTGGTACGCAACCCTCTTGGTTGTCTTGAAAGTGGGGTTGTTTATTTTCTTCTATCTCATGGCAAACCCACATTCATTTACTTCGTACGTGCCACGCACGAGATCTACTTTCGCGCCAAACTATCCTTCGCTTCCATCAACTTCTTATGGATTCCCATATTCGCCCTACTTTCGAGTGCCGCAGTCTTGTGTAAAGTGGAGCTTCTTATGCCTCTCCATCTCTTCGGTGTAAGACCATCTGCATCAACAACGGCCCTTTTTATCAGGTTAGCTTCCGCCGCGAGCTCATCCTATCCTGTTGTCCACGTTGCAATTGCTGACCGCTGATTTGTTCTTTGGGAGCACGGAAAGGCCGAAACAGAGCCGTCGACTTCCCTCCCCAGCTCCACCTTCAATCCAAGAGTGTTTGAATATACCTTTGAGTTGTGCTCAAGGTTCACCATTCGACCCAACTTCATCGTATAGAAGTACAGATGAACCAGAACTGAAATTTCCGCGCGACAGTGTGTGTACGGCTTAGTGAATCACCTAGCAGGTTCTGATCCGACTTGTAGCCTCAACTGTAAGAGCTGTATGTTTTTCGGGTGTAAAGAAAACCGGTCGAAAAACATACGTGGAGGAAATAACGGAGGAGCTCAGTTATTGGCTAAAATTTAGTCGGTCAAATTTATCATGGCCTGAGTAGCAGTTGCCGTTTTCTTCAAATTGGAATTTTAGAGAAAAACGAACTGACTAACTTAATAAAAGAAACTCGCATATATATTTATGCTCTGGTCCGACATGAGCTCGTTGACGAGATGGTAATGCGCACCATCCATGATAAAGGCCCAAGGTTCAGACCCCAGGCGATGGATGTGCACTACTAGTGACCCCCAATGACAGCGAAACTGGTTTCGGTGCTTATCGTTAAAGTTTAAAGGATTATCTGGCTAAATCATCGTTTCTCCTATACGTAACGGTGAGTTGAATGTGAATAGAAGAGGACTAAACTTGTCGATTGCTGAAATTCTTATTATGGTATTATTACTCTCGATAAATCACCAGCTAGGCATATCCAAAACGTCAGATGGGATTTGAATGTTGTCCTTTGTATTAGCGTTTCTACGGTAATTTTATACTCGATTTTATTCAGACTATTCCACTTCGTTTTCACTTTGCCTGATCCGTTCTTTCTGATGTAACGAAATTTCAATTTTCTTCGCCTTTTGATCAATTTCTCATTAGATATGCATTTGATCTCCGAAAAAGCATTAGAGCGTTATTTTCGGGAACAAGTGATTCCGGACGGTAGTTCAGAAGCGGTGATTAAATCGTTGCGTTCCGGATCGGACATTGTACCTGGACTTGTGGAAGGTGGATTCATCATGTGGGATGGCAGTCGACAACTGGTGGAATATATTTTGACCCGTGGATTTGTTGAAAAAATACATGGCAAATGTGTACTTGAACTAGGGTGTGGTGCAGGCCTTCCGGGCTTGGTTGCACTGAAATTGGGTGCTTCGTTAGTCATGTTCCAGGTAAGCTAGCAATTCTATATTGATTTTATGATAGTTTTTATGTTTACATCACTTAGTTACGTAAAATCAAGTGGATGAGGCGATTCTGAACAGGTTCCTCGACTTTGCTCATTCCGTTGTTTTGATGGTCTTTGGTGCAATGTATTATGTTATCTGGATGGGGGAGATTGCCCGCAACACATCACCGGTTTGATCCTTGGACAAGCATTATTTTGTATTCTCTTGTCAAACCACTCAAACTTTACCCCTCATGAAAAATGGCACAATATGTTCATTTGTACCTCAGGCAATCTTTCCGAGATACACTTACTTTGCAAAACCAGTACAACGAATCGGTGGTAGCTTTTGTGGGTGAGCTGCGTCTAACCTCAGGAAACGTAGAATCAGGGATTACTTTTAGTTTTCCGGAATTTCATCTGCCTAAGATTCTATAAGATTCGGTAATCTAGGGACCAAGCGATTTAAACCAGCTTTTAGTGAACCGGGGCTTAAAATCCGCTGCCTGAAGGCGTACGGTATTCGAAGACAGCCACTCTTTAGTGGACGGGCGAGACTTAGTGCCTAATCATACGGTCTCGAGAAAGCTGTCCAGCCAACAGTTTGTACAACCATTAACCATGCACTTTCTTGCACCTGGTTTTGGTTGCCCATTTGGACGAACAGTAGGAGAAATACAGGAAAGTTTAAAGTAGAGTAGACCAGACAGTGGAGAATTCCAGTAGTACAAGGTTGAAAAGAAATTGAGAAGATACACGAACGGCGGTGTTTACGACACTTGGCCACATTACTCGGTGTCTATAACCATGAGTTACGATCATCTCGAGAACCCCAGCTGGGGAACCTAATATGACTTATGTGACCTATTCCCTTGCTTACGGATTTCATACCCTGGTGCCAGGTATTAGCTTGACCACCCATGGCTTTTTTCCACCCGCTAACGATCTCGGCAAACATTGAGCGCCGTGGTGACCTATTTAAGGACATACGTAACACATGCTCCAACCAACGTTATCTATGGAGGTCGATTACTTGATCCAGTGGCCGACCGTGATTACCTAAAACTACGCCCAACATCATCCGGCTGCCCCACCGGATTCCTGCTATGCTGCTGTGGACAGCGGTGTTCATACACCGACAGTTTATCTTTATCCTGTTTTCTTAGTGGCCAAGCTTCTGCGCCGTAAGACAACCGGGCGAACTGCCGCGGCATACACTCGACCTTTCATAGACAGCTGGATGTCGTGACGGCGCAACAGATGCCTCAAGTTGGCAAGTGCCAACCTAACTTTTCGTATGCGCGCCGACACTTTATCTGTGATGCGTCCACCGGGTGAGATGTAACTGCCCAAGTAACAAAACGTGTCCACTTAGTCTATTACTTCTCCAGTTAGGTTGAGGCTGTGTGCTGGAACAACTCACTCTTGTAGCAGCATTTTCGACCTTGAAGTTGCAAAACGCGTATCGAACATGGTTACACTAGCACTCAAACTAACCAGAAAATCTTACAACGTACCTGGATCTGCACTTAGTAGCACAATGTCGTTTGCATACTCGATATCAGACAGTTTGCTACCTGGAAGTAAATCGACACCGCTATCCTCGCACTAGGAGGGCTGTTTCAAGAAGTGAATCTATTTTAAGTGAGTAATGGAGGATTTGGCTTAATTTCAAAGGTTAATTCGTCATGTATATAGCAAATGAAGCGTGAACTGAAAAGCTAGGAAGCCTTGGATAGGTGTTTCGACCTGGTCGGGTCTCATCAACAGTGCGGATTCATCGATCCAACTGGGGACCTCTTGGGCAGAACACAAGCTTGCTACCCACTCGGCCACCGGGCAGATGATCAGACCGTTTTTCATTTTCCATTTACACGATATAGCACCACCCATCTTTGTGAGCTTGTTGCGGGCCACAGACCCTGCTCATCTCAGCACTAGCCTCCGGGATTATGACGCGGTGAGAAGCTTTCACAACCCAGTTGGGTCGATGGTTTCGCACTGCTGATGAGGCCCAACTAGGTCGAAACAGCTGTCCAGTGCTTCCTAGCTTTTCAGTTCACGCTTCATTTGCTATATACACGACGAATTCGCCTTCGCAATTAAATCTGTCACGAAGTTAAAGAGAATTGGAGAGAGAGGGCAACCCTGTATTTATGTATGGATGTATTCTATAAAAGGAAGTAAAGTAAATAAATAGAAGATGGAATAACTAAGCGCAATTCAATAGAGTAAATTAAGGAAAAATCAATTGCTCTGGCGTTTTAGTGATAACATTTGCACCTAATCATACTGTATGGACGCGGTTGTGAAAAAAACTGGGCTGGAGTAGCTACCTTTTATTCAACGGGTGAAAAGAAGAATCAGTTGCAGTTAACGCGCTTCAAAGCAGATAAGGGGCGATCTCGTCACCAATACACAGTACGTGGTATCAAGACTTTTTCATGGAACGGATCATCAAACTTTGCTATTTCCAATAACAGGAAGGAAGACTACCGCGGGATAAATTTAATTCACATTTTCATCAGTGACAGACCCTGGGATAATCTGCTCTTTTCGTGCAGCCTAATAATTATATCCGTTCAGTATGCTGTCGCTTCTCTTCATTTTTGTAGGATTACAACGTGGAAGTATTGACTAACTGGACCATACCGAATGTGAAACTGAACGCCACTGGATCCGAACTGGATCGGGTGCAATTTGTCAGCGGTGACTGGGTTCAGCTTGCCACAGAATGGGAATCTAACGACCAGACAAACCGATTCGATGTGATTCTCACCGCGGAAACCATCTACCGTCCAGATTTGTACGGTCGCTTGCATCGTATTTTCGACGCGTGTCTAGCCTCGGACGGCCTGGTTCTTCTGTTTTGCAAAGTTACTTACGGTCCCGGTGGCACCCTTTGGGATTTTCTGGAATTCGTGAACACTCAAAAGTGTTTCAAGACTACAGTGAATCAAGTCACTCAATCGGGTGTACTGACATTTGTGGTTCAACTGGAACGAATTTCCTGATCCGGCTGTTTTTTCTCTCACGATCGTTAAATTGTTCAGATGTTTCGTTTGCTGTTTCACATTTTTCAAAGGTGTATAATGATCGTATCGATGTGTTGGTGCTGAATCCAGAAATAAAGAGTGAATTTCTCAAGTAATTAGTAATCATTTACGTATGTTTCGAGTTGCTTCCAAATCATGGTGTCATTGTCAGGCACAAGTGTTCTGGATTTATCCTCGTAAAACCATGTCGTTGATGGTAAGCATCCGAAACAATAAATGAACGATCGTTTTCATGGGCATAGTTTTTGTAGCACTATTTTTTAAGGGGAACGGAAACATCACGTTCTGCACACAAGTCAAGCGCTTAGCGCCGTGACTTTTTATTAGGCCCCGCTGCTTTGTGGGTCGGGCTTTGATTAGCCGAAGGCTCCGGTTGTGGGTTCCCCAAGAAAATGCACCTGGGCAACCTGGCAGTATTCAGCCCACATGGAACGTTTCTTTTTATAAAAATTATTTGTTTGGCACACAGTCTTGCGTCAAACGTGATATATTTATATATCTATCACTAAACCTCAGAGAAATGCTTTAGTTAATGCGAAAATACACAAATAACGGTTGCTCAAACTTCCCTACCGGCAGAATTGATCCAATCGATATTTGCCCATTTGGGTAATAATTTCGAATAAAAGCAATGTGGTGACTATGCTTACTTCATTTACCAGCTAATTGCAACAAGGCAAAGATAGAGCGACTACTTTTTGTTCTGTTCAGTGCTTGAAATGTGGTGCGGGAAGGACTGATACATTTGAAACTGGGATGTGAGGGCACCTCTCTAGAAAATAATATACCTCAAAAGCTACTCTTTCGCACGAAGTGAGCCGTAGTTCGATATAACCACAATCCCCCGACTATAGATAAATAGCCAGGGTTTGGGGTCCCTCGACTGAACCCGTGTTTAGATAAAACCTCTGGGGTACTTCAACAGTTTGTTTTGTTTCGACCAAGTGTACACGGACAGCGTTCGCCATTGCCCTTATCGATTCTCGACTGAGTCCGACTAGGTAGTGTTTACTCATCTGATTACTACCCAGTGAGATTGATATATTCCCCTCCAACGTAATCACACAACGATTATCAACGGTATCTTCCAGCGGAGCATTGGGTCAAGTCAGTCAAACTCGTGTTAGTTATGCGCTGTTCAAGAAGTTACGTTTCCTGCTATTTTTTGTGCTTTCTCGGAGGTAACATACCCAGGAAGAAAATGCGGGAATAGCAATGGATCAACAATCGCAGTTTTGTCCTGATGCTGAATTTGAGTGAGAGGACTTTTTGCTATCATCTCTGTGTATGGTGGACTGGTAGAAGCTTAATTCACGTTTCTGAAAAAATCAATCAAAACTTTGTCGAACGTGGAATGAGACTCGACAACTAAGGAACCCGACTGCAGAAAAGAAAACCGTCTATGTTTCACTGCCTTCCATAGGCGGTACACTTGCGAAATTAACAACCTAGGGGCATAGTGGGGAAGACTTAATTCTTAACCGAATTTCGCATTTTCTGCTCATCCAACAAATTTCTCCAATTTCATGTGAGGAACAGACTACCGATAGAACTGACATCTTGCGTCTACCGGTTTACTTAGTTCGGTAGCGTAAGCCAGGCTGGTCGCACGCTGTAATCGGATAAAACAACACCAGACAGCCTGATTCATTCGAAGTTCGATAAGATCAGATGCGCGCATTGGTTATGCTCAGTGTTGAGATGCGGAATTTAATCATTCAATCTTTGGGTCCCATCTACGGATGTGGAAACCGGCCTAATATACACAGCAAACGCGATAGCAATTACGTTGAATAACCCCGCGCGCGAAAAGATCACGAGTTCCCTGGTTCTTCAAGGGCACACTGCTAAATATTCTTCCTTTATAACGCTCTCACTGGGTAGATCACATCTCACAGATAGTTATCGTCCTTCTAACTCCCATTATTGCCAGTTGCCCAGATACGATCCTGATAGAAAAATAGAACTGTGGTCCATTTTAACTCAAATAGGCGCTATATTATTCGTTTTTAACCTCATCAACCGTATGATACAAATGAGCGCATGAGATTCATTCATGGAAACCTAGTCCGATAAAACGGGGTGAATAGGAGAGATGAACACATATTGAGGATACATGATTAAAGCAACGGTAGACAAAGTGCTTGAGAAAACAGAAAAAAACAGATGACGGGAAAATAAACAAAAGCGGACAAGTAGATCACAGACCCTTTGAATAGGGTTGGAGGTGGGGCGATTCTGATACCGGGGTGAATTGAATGCTTTGAAGCAGAAACAATTTTGGTTCAATCGAATGGATTGCTTGGGGATTGCTTTGCGCGCCGGAAGAAAAGGAATGATCGCCGGGGCCGAGTGGAAGTCGAGGGAGAAAAAAGGAACTAGAGTTAATCGTGAGCCAAGAGAGTAGTGGGGGATAATTCGATTGCACGACGGTTTCCGCAGTATACAGAGAAAAGAGGAAACTGATAAGTTATTTCAATTTGGTTGGGTTTCATCGGTACCTAATCCCACTCACCTTATCGCTGACCTGAAGTTACTGCTCAGTTGGAAGCTGTCACCTTGGCTACATGATACAGTCACGGTAGTATGTCTATCACTCTGGCGTATGTCTTCTCATGCCGTCACTGAAAATAAAATATATGTAACGTTTTCCACTGATGAGTTCCCTGTGAATATCGCTCGAGTACATTGGTCCTCTCTCGGAATGTGACTGTGCAGTCCCAACTGATGTTAGAAATGAACGACAAATTTAGTTCACTGGATCAGAAAAGAAAACGACAACGATGTCTAAAAGAACCAATGGCTGAAATGTACACATCGGGTTTGAGTACCATGATTATGAATTTCATACACAATTGATGATGAGCCCGGTACAAACTGAAACTGAACTCGATTGACGGTTTCGTGTATCGTATAAGAAGGGAATAACGAGGATTATGAGAACGGGTTTCACTAAATTGAACTGCATAACATTTTTGGCACCTGGTCAACTAAAAAATTAGTGAAGAAATAAGACTAATATGAGTCCATGTATCATCAGTGTCAGCTTTGAAGTACGCTGTGGACATTACCTGAGGAGCGTTCTCTACCATAACACCCGCATGATTTTACAGACTACACTACGGCTATCATGTTCATTGTTCTTGTGTTGTTCTCTCAAGCAGAAAGAGACGAATAAATCGTACAACAGACTACCAGATCATCTGGATTAGCTCTGATGCCTTGGAGACTCTACTCATGTAACTAAAAGATAGAGGTGCCAACAGCAGCGTTTCGTATCTAGTAAAGTTCACTTCCCAGTGTCCCACCAAGTAATGTCGATGAGGGTCGCATCCTATTCCCGCAGGTCTCACTCCGTAGTTGCTAGACGACATGCTGTACGTATTTATAGATCCATAAAACTGATTGATCTTGAGGTAGTTGCGTAACAGAAATGTAACGAATGAGCCATGAATGCAAACACCAGACTAAACGGATTGTTTGATCGCGTGGAAGTGGACCCCCATTTTCGCGATACATTCTATCTAATTATCGCGTGAACTCATTTCAATCACTTGGGACGCGTAGAAGTTCATCCTCATCACTGGAGTGAACATTGGATTGAAATATTGTAACCACGTGTAAGTGTACATCACCATTTAATAAATTCCCGGAAGATGGTTTCTATCCCTTTCTGAACGTCACTTGAAAAGTCCACTTTGAGCACCTGGATGACAACAGGCACAAGGAATACTGTAGGAGCACAAAAGATATGCGGGAGAATAAAGTGACAGACCGTAACAGTACGGGCTATGGACCAGCATTCACGTACTAAGTTCTGAATAAGGTTGTCCTAGTTTGCGGTACGTTCAAAAGGGGATAGCATACTCACCCGGTAACCGACAGTAGAGGGATCTTGTGGGTGAACTTCACATCAAAAATAAACAAACTAGGGCACAAAATCAGACTTCTTATAAATCGAAACAGAAAACTGCAAGGAAATTAAAAAAAACACGAACACCTAATTACTGTTGACTTGTGTTCATCTGAACTCTTTGAAAGAGCATGTATGTACTCCTTATAAAAATGAAGAGTATATAAACCTCGCAACTCACATGGCTCGTATCCACACGGATTGGATCATACCACGAGAGATAGGGTTCATCTATTAATGGCTCCATTCGCGCGGAGCGTGGCGAATCAGATACCAATTCGAAGTCCTGGTTGTGTACTGGGTCGGGAAGATCCAAACGAATAGGACAGGGATGACAAACTGGACAAATCCAGTGTCGCGGGAATCCGTACAGTTCCAAGGCTTGCATTGGATCAGTTTCGACCGCCCCGGTTACGGCCAGACAGTGAATATGGAACATATGACCACAACTAGGGCAGCGAATGAAAACCATAAAAAAACGAATTTCAAGGTATGAGAAATAGAATGCAAAATTTATCTTATCGGATCTCATAACAAGAGACTGCAATTTGATGTGGTGTGATAGCTTACACATCTGTGACTCAACAGAAGACAACGAATAGCACTTATAAAACCGTGGATCTAATCATACATGAAGGATCTAAGGATAAAGGTCAGAGAAACTGTAGTCTCCCGGATCACTTAGGATAGAGGCTCGTTTTCCGTTGGTGCTTCAATCGGTAAAGCGATGGACGAGCATCACCATACATTAAAAGCCAGTGAAGCAAACTTCATCGATCGCTGCCAAGCTCGCAATGTGCACAAAAGTGAGACTGTGTAAGATGGACAGGAATAAGGCCTAGTTGGAGTGAGGAAAACAGTGTGAACACTTAGAGTTAACACAGAGTAAACTTTCTAGCCGCGTATTTTCACCTTTTCGAGCACCCATGTCTGATAAGAAATGAAAATAACCCTGTTGTCGGTTTGTTGCCAAGTCCTTCAGTGTCTTCAACCAAACAGTCATTCTAACCCTTGCAATAAGAATGGAAGACACCAATTCTACCTGATCTCTCGGTGCATTTCTTTATACCTCGTCTCTACGTCATCTGTTGAAATACAAGTGATTTTCTCCAGTCTGGAGGAACAACAATGAATAAAGTACGGTGCGATAGACGACAGATTGGTTTGCGCTTATAACACAATGTGGAAGTCGTTAAATCGACATTTGCAACACTTGTCCAAGCCAACAAGGTTTTTAGAGAGAGACAAGGTAGCCCTAGGAGAACGACTAAGATTATCTGAGGTGAAGATTCCTCGGCGAAGTTGGTGATTAGCTGTTGCCAACTTATTCTGGTGATACATTTATTTTGTTTTATTTCAACGTGTTACCAATTACATAGCACTGACAAATGTGCCACAACATATGAAAAAATCTGTAGAATGTGTTCACAGGTTGTGTGGGCATGTTAGTTCCCGGTTACCCTGGTCGAAGAGGGGAGCTAACCACGGGTTCCGCAGTCCATTGGAGGCTGGTATGGGATCGTACGCTTTCTGGACGGGGTCAAACGGTCAAGGTGCCCCATACACCGATGTCCAGTACCACAACCAGGGAGATGCGTGTGTGGTTCGTACGCCTACTCTTGGTCAATTTGGAATCAGGGTTTTTGGCCAACTCTCTCGTGGGTGAAATGCGAATGGTTCAACAAATTGGCTATAGCGCCGGCTGTTGGTTTTTCGTCCTCTCACTATGGTGGTCTATCAATAAACTTTCCGGATGAACTAGAAAGCCCTGTTGCTTTTGTCGAGATTCGGTGCTAGATAAGAAAACCCCATAATCCGCACAGAACTGAATCAGCTGATGGCCGGGCGGGCAGTGCAAAACGACCAGGCTTCAGATGCGATCAGTTTACCAAGGTGTGCGGTAAAATTACCGTCAAGCGAAATTATATAAGAGCTGAGGCGCAGTTGGATGAGATCTTGAGCTTGTCGTAAAGGTTTTTGTGCATTGGGACTGCAGTTGCTTGGCGTATAGACAAAAGTTATCAACCAACACCTTTGATGTTGTTTACCTTCCTGATATCAACGGATCGATGGAGCCACATAGCGCACATGCGACCATTTAGAAGTATCCAATCTACCACTGTGTCGTCTGGTACAATTCCTAGTCTGAGCAGAACTACTGAGTAGGCTTCGACCTCTCCTGATGTGCCAAAGAAATACACCGAGGATACCCAGAACATTTAGATGGTTTATACTACTAGGATCCTGAATTAGTGTCCAAGATAGGTAACAGTCATCATTTTCCAAAGAGTTCATTGCGTGCTCCAGAAAAGCAGATCGACCCATCTGAATCAGAGTATTTTCGTTGAAGACAGCCAGATTCAGAAATTGACTGGGCTTCGGAATCTGCAGTTTATATGATGGTTAACTGCTTAGATTGCTATTTCACAAAATGCTTTACTCAGTGACAAACAAGTCGTCTGATGAAATGTTACGAGTTAGAAGAACGGGCGATGGAAGAAAGTTGGGTTTGGAAGACAAAGAGTTAATCAAATGTTGGGATGTCTAAGCAGTAGCCCACTATTCACCCCGCCGCATTATATGGGTCTGGTGGGGCAGCCGGACGAGCAACACTGAGGTTAAATGCAGAGTTTTGGGTAATCGAGGCCGCCCAATGGAGCAAGTGATCGACCTATATAGACTACGTTGGTTGGGGAATGTGTTACACATGTCACCACGGCGCGCGACGTTTGCCGAGGCAAATAGCGGACAGAAAAGGGTCAAGGATGAAGGTTTTTGTTGGGACGAAGATCTTTGCTATTCGTCCCAAGATAAGCCCGGCTGCATGTTTGCTAATTCTGTAAAATACATTGAATAAATTTACAACATATTCGACCCAAATTAGGGGCATTTCAGATCAATACTTATCTCGCGAAGATTAAGCAATAACATGGCGTCGAACGGCAACATTCACTCAGCCCGTCCGTCTGATTCGCGGCCTATGACCGATTGAACTTCGCTCACTGTGTACAATCTGGTACAATCTTTTTCTTCCATCGATCAGTATTATTTTCATTCACATATAAGCAGCAGAGTAAAAATTGTAAATGGACGCGTGATTTGTGCTCAACGTCATTAAAATCCCATGCGTCTTCTCTCTCGTGTTTTGGGATACCTGAAATCGATAGCCGACCGTGCGTTCCGTGTTTCGCCAAGGNGAACTATCATCCGTTCACGGACTTAGTGCTAATCCGCTGTTCTCGTGTGCTACTAGTGTTACTGTGCTATATCTTGTGTTCTTTGCACTTATGGTGTCCGCCTGTGATATAATGCTGCGCGACATAATATTAGGGAACGGATTTAAGCGGAGTAAAACATTTGGCGACGTAACAGTTCGAAAACAATAACCAGGACACTGGGTTGCATAGGTCTCGTTAGGCTCCCTGGAAGGGAACCCAGAGATCATGGCAACCGGTGGTTTGAGACGCTAAGCGATATTGTTGTGTCGCAAACAGTGGTGATCGTACATGTACACATTATTCTTGTAACCCCAGGCTATATGAATTCTCTATCTTCCCACTGAATGTGCTCTCAACACTCCAAAATTCATTCTGCTGTCTCATCCAAATGGGCAAAGTGCATGATTAATGGTTATAAAAGAATAACTGAACTGGTTCACCACCCTGGATGCAATGGGCAGTGCGTTCCCCACTATACTACAGGAGGACAGATGCAGGATGGAATTCACTTTAGTTTGTATATTCATCGGAAAGGTACTACTAGGGAGTTCATCCATAATGTAGGAGTGCTGCAGATGCAATATGGGCCTCCATTAGGCCCAGCAGTAGCTAAGACATTTCAATCTTCGTTCGGTTAGTTATCTTGTTTCACCTACCCCTCCCTGAGACACAACCCCAAACAAAGAAGTTGTTACTTATCAGAGGGGGCTGCGAAATACCGTTGCAGATGATTAGAGGTTCTGAACTCGCATCAACCCCCGAATCTAAGGTCCATCAACGTGAGGAGTTATGACCATTGACCGGGCAGCTTGTCTTGTGCGGACAATGAAGACATCAGTGATTAAGGTCTGTCTGTGCAAGGAAAACAGTATCGAGGCCCTGGAGCTGCGTCGACTAAAGGTTCA